GGAGCTTGCAGTGAGCCGAGATTGCGCCACTGCACTCCAGCCTGGGCCACAAAGCAAGACTCCCTCTCAAAAAAAAAAAAAAAACAAAAAACAGAGGAACTTGGAGTCAAGCCCAGGCTGTCTGACTGGAATTCATATCACAACTATGCCACATTTCTCAAAGACAAACAAATTAAATTATTAGAGAATAAGTGTAGCTGGAAAATCCTACCTCAGATTCACCTGTGCTGTTTATTAAAAGTTCAGACTCCTGAGCCTAATCCTAGACCCACTGAATCACTCTCCAGGAGCAGTTTGGACTTTCATTTTAACAAGCATCCCAAGGAGAGTACTTTATCTATGTACTCTAAAGTCTGAGAACCACCAGGATAGACATATCTTGCAGAACTCAACTTGTATGACAGTCTAGAAGTCATTTCCTAACATTTAGGTGCACCTCTAACCTGTCTTCCATGTTTTCTTAAACAAAAAAAATTTTATACAAATATTCTAGTATGTTGTAAATTAATTCAAACATACTTTATTAAAGTGTATTTCAGACTTATTTGATAGTAGTCCAAAGTAAGACATACATTCACATAGTGAGCAAAGACCTATATACATATAATGGAACAAAACATTCACAAAATGATATTTATTTTCACAACATGCCAGGCACTCTAATGGTTCTAACATATTAGTTAGAAAAAATATATTGGTCCATGACTCACTGAACTGATTTATGACCACTAATGGGCGAAACCTGGCAGTCTGAAATCACTGCCTTATTAGATAACCAAGGACATAATGTTTTGCATTCTTCTGTGGGCAATCAATGAAAACACAAATGAGTAACTAGAGGCAAGCCCCTGAATTGCAAAAGCACTTTCCTAACAGAAACAGCAGACACTAAACTTCTGAACTATCTGAACTATGATTGCTTATGATAAAAATTGATACAACCACTGTACTACGTATATCTTAGTACACACGATTACAAGACATAACTGGTTTATCAATTTAAGGGCACAGAACTACCTATGTTAAGATTCACAATCCATAATAATAATTTATGTGCTATTCACAACAATTCACTTGAATTCAAATCACAAGGTCTAGATCTTTATGTAAAGCATATTTATAATCAAATTTAAGTCAGTGGATGAAAATGAGTTGATAATCATTCCAGATAGAATTACAAGTCATAACAGTCTCTTAAAAATTAGTAAACATTGAAAGAGCAGAACCAACTAGAGGTTAAAAATTCTGTCGGAAGTGCTTTGGCTCAAAACATGGGAGAATTCTAAGAAATTTCCCTCCGGAAGGACGGCTCATTTGCACACTTGAGGCTTTCCCAATGAATTCCTCAATTCAGGAAAGTATGTATATTTTCATAGTATTCACCCTCTTCTTGAAACAATTTCTTTAATCTTGGATTCTGCAAAATGTCAGGACATATCATAAAACAGTCTAACATTATAATTGCATAGGAAATTCATTGACTTTATCACAAGCCTAATGATTTTTAATCTTGTAAAGTACATGTTCGCTATATTGACTAAACATTAACCTTGTACTTGGGTTAATGTTTGTCATTAACATTAATGTTTATGTTTGTTCTCTGCTCTCTTCATTCTTATAATACACACGCAATATCACTGAGGATAAGCATCACCACAACTTAGCCTACCATTAGATCTGGAGTTGTATAAGAATTTTTTCAATACCATGATTCAACCAGTCAAACAGCCTTACAACAAAGAAGTGGGCAAAACAGTCCTATAATGGTCCACTTAAAAGCTATTTGATTTCATAAAATTCCAGTGAAACAAAAAATCTGGACAGAGGTCATAACAGTTTTTTAAAAATTAGAACTAGAAAAGACCTTGTAAGAAATTTAAATGAACTCTCAACCCAACATGTACATTTTCTCAAAAATAAGTGATTTGTTCAGTTTCTTTAATCTCTTCAGTGAGGCTGAACTGTTCCAAGTAGTATATCCCAATTTGGAGCTTTGGATGTTACAAAGTTCTTTTTACATAGAAACAAAATGTGCCTCCCCTTTTGCTCTTACCAAGCAGTCATAGTTTCCCTACAGTATGATGCCATTCCTTCAAGTTTTCCTCAAATGTTTTCTAGTTTCTTTAGTTTTATCCTACTCTTGTGAAGGGCCCTAAATAAAACACTAGAAACCAGAATTAGTCCTTTGAACAATGTTTTACAAACTGTGGTGTGTGACTCCGAGCATCAAGAAATCAACATTTTAAAAATTAAAATAAGACAGAAAAAATCAGAATACAGAGTATAAAATAAGGGCTAATATCTTTTTGTGAAACCTGTTTCAGATATACTGATTATACAACTATTACCTGGATTGCAAGGTAAAATGTACCTCTTACTGTGTTTGCAGTCAGAAACTCTTTTGAGTCACTACTTTAGAGTATGCTATTGTGAGATAGGTAAAATTTCACCCAATAATATCAATATATGTGCAAAATTCTGTATTTATGTACCACCAACAGTACTGGAAGAAATTAAGACTCTATGTACCGAATACAGAAATATTTATCTTTGGGAGAAACAACCAAAGTAGGTGGTTGAAATAAAACAAAACATACACACTGAGCTGCAACATAAACACAGAATATGGTACAGACTCAGATTCCTACTTAAGTTACAAGCAAGAGTTCTCATCTCCTGATGGGCACTGACCCCAACAGCAGGCCTGGGCACAGGTCCAGCACTTAACTCAGAGGGATGCCGTGTGTTGCTGCATGGTTTGTTACCAACATCTCATAGAAGAGAGCAGAAACCGCCTAGGAACACAGCTGATATCATAATACGACATAGTTTAGGAAGGTTTTTCTTTTAATTAAGATTTATCTTTCTGATGAAACCAGATGATAGGGAGACAGATGCCTGTACGGTGTGCGTTTTTATATTTTACCTCTTAATTCTCACAACAACCTGATGAGGAAGGTTTTATTACCCAACTTTAACTTTCCCAAAGTCATATAGCTCCTAAATCTAAAGGTTTTGTTATTTTTTAAATACTAGAATTGTCCCATACCGCCAATATGCACAATGTGCAGTGGATGCCTATCCGCTCAGAAATGGCCAACAAATAGGTAACAAGTTTGTAATTCCAGATTAATCTCTGTCACCTCTAACTAGTAACTAGTCTTTTTATTTTCCAGTTTTTACAAAACTTTTATTTTTTAATTGATAGATTATATTTGTACATATTTATGGGGCATATGTGATATTTTGTTACATGCATAGAATGTGTAATGATAAAGCATACATAGATGCACAGATATATGCATAAAATGTGTAATGACTAAAGTCAGGGTATTCAGGGTATTCCAAAGCCAAAACTGAGTGCTTACTCATTTGCTTCACGGCAATAGAGAGTCTAATGTCAACATTCTAAAAGTTAGGTGTACTATGAATACTACTTCATCCGAATGCACCAAAGGACAATCTCCGAAAATATTCCTTTACCTGGACAGGGTGGGGGAAGGAAGCGAGAGATGTGAAGAGGGACGGAGCGACGTCCTGGCCCTCTGTGACCTCCGTGCCAGGAAGAGGGACCCAGGATGTTTGAGAGTTTTGCCACCAGCCTTACAGCACCGAGAGAGGCGTCACTCAGTGCGCAGCTGCACCCGCTAAGTTTTTTAGACGCGTTGCCCCTCAGTAGCGGGTTTGGACCCGGGGTCGCGTCGACACTGGCCCTAGCATCTTCCCGCGGGCGGAGCCCAGGTGAGAGCAAGGCCCTGCCACCCTCCCTCGCCCGCGGGTGCTTCTTCCTTCCCGGAACCGCCCGGCCAGG